TCAATTTCGTTCATCCTGTATAGGAACTGAACACTCAAATAATAACTTTCACTACTTCACTACAAAACCATTCAAAGGCACCACTCATAGGACGATCAACTTCGCCTCCCTCTGGTTCATGGTCACAGAGTCACTTAAAATAGTGGAAAGACAGACAATGAACCAATCACAATTCACTTGAGCACTCCGCTGGATTGCTCCGGGGCTCACATAATATTGGTAAAGAATAGCGTACGGTCTATCTCGTTTATTTTTAGACTGCCTTCTGTGGGCTATGTTTCGGCACTGTTCGGAAGGAACACATTTGAGATGTGCCGTCTTATTAATATTAATGTACCGCCAAACTCGCTACGAGTGTCGTCATCCCTTGGGTTATCCACAAGGGCGATTTATAGGTCAGGTTACCCTGTTGAATATATCCTATTATGTTTAGCTAAAGCGCGTGGACTTTGGCATGGCATAGTAGATGTTTTACGCACTATAGACACAGAAATGACAGTTATGGCGCCAGTAAGGACCTTGTTTTGAAATAATATTTGGCTAGTGTTTTTTTCTGGCTTCTTTTATTTTATTATTGTAGGTGCAATAGAACATTAACAATTTTTTGGTGGCACTGCACGACGTGCTCTATGTACGAACCGCACCTACATCATTGTTATGGGCATTGAAGATTAGTTTTAAAATGTTGAAATTCAAAGGAAAATGTGTAAGTTTTGAAGAGTTACATAACATTACGACATTAAAAAAGCGAAAAATGAAATCAGGTTGACTACTTTCTACTCCTAAATCTCTGCTATCGACAAGTTCTCTCAATAATTCATTTGCTTTCTGAGTAGTTTGCCTTACCACGAGTTTCCCTGGCGACGCAAAAGGCTTATACTTCGGCATGGTGAAGATTTCAGAAACGACACACAACTCCAAAGCAAAACAAAGCTCAAAACTCGCCCCAAAACACTGTAAACAATTGAAAAGCCCCGCTATTTCTTTGCAAATGGCGGATGTGCCCTTTGACCCACGCTAAACCGATCGGAGAAAACTAGGATCGGTTTAACGACGTCTTTGAATAAGGAAATAACAATGACATAGTATGTGTCGCTCCGGCGGGTGGCGATCGGCGGAAACAACACAGTATGTGCCGTTACGGCCTAAAACAGTTTTAATTAAAAAGATTCATTTTTCCAGTAGCTTTCGACACAATTTACCGACGTGGCCAATTCAGTTTAACATTATTTGATGCAATCTTTCCTTTTATCAACTACACTACCAAACCTAGTAACAGATTACGTAAACTGCCTTGACAAATTCGTCTGGCCATCGATAGGGTTTGATCTGAGTCGAAGTTAGCAAAAGTTGTTTTGATGTTACCCGCTAGTCTGTTTTCACAAAGGGCACAGTCGTGTGGGTCACGCCGCATACGTGACACATCAACAAGCCTCAGAATCTGCGTGATTCAACCGCCTATTTGCCACAGGGCTGCAAAACTGGCACTTGGGCGGTTGAATCAGGTGGAAATTGAGGACTGTGTGATATGGGCGATTGATTTACTAACGGATTGGAACACTTTGCAGTAACCTTTCAAACTCGAAATTTCAACGTAATGTGTATCATGGGCTGTACTATACAACGGTATCAAAAAGTGATTTTCGAAAATTGTTTCACTTAGGCGGTTGAATCACGCGGCTAGCGAATTTATTATTTATATGCATATAGAAATAGGACGCCAAATATTAAAGTACGCTAACACAGACTGTTTTTCGAACAAGCCAGTGTGTACCGTCTTTGTGCAGTCCCCTGGTTTAACTTAAGTGTTTGTTTTTTCGCCTGTATTATCGTGTATTGCTCAAGGACACACTCAATCTAATCCACGGGCTACTGGCACTTGATTGACATGGCTTGCGAGCTAGAACTCACTATCCACTTTTCCGAGGAACCTCCCACTCCCTTCCCCCTTTTTCCCCGTAAGAAAAACGAAACGAAAAAAGCCCCACAAAACTTTAGCCCTTCTTCAGTTTGGGAACTTCCTTGACCCACTTCTGAAAACTGGGGTGTCCATTCTCACTTAAGTTCTCTGTTGAATCGTTGTCATGTCAGACACGACAGATGATTTTGCACTTATTTAAAGTAAGACGATGGTAGATAATCCTAATCTGGTATAATATATTCTCTCTCTCTCTCTCTCTCTCTCTCTCTCTCTCTCTCTCTCTCTCTCTCTCTCTCTCTCTCTCTCTCTCTCTCTCTCTCTCTCTCTCT